AGCTGCTCCAGGGCAGGGACTGCTTCTCCTCCCTTGTTGTGCTGACACCAACACAAATTCAGCTAGGGCTAGGCACAGAGGACAGGCTGGACAGAGGAGTGACAGAGGGACAAATGGACAACACCCTCCATGACCAGGTCCCTACCTATCTCCAGGCCCTCTTGGCCTTGGACTGTGATCCAGCAACACCAAACAGCATCTAATTTCCCCTCCCCAACCCATACCCTAGGCTGTTGCTTGCCTCAGTGCTACCACCCATGCTGTCCCCTTTGCCTGGAGTGCCTTCCCCTTCTATTTGCTAAGCTCTACTGATACTTTCAGACTCTGACCAGGTGCCATTTGCTCTAGGATACTTTCTCTGGTGCCCCAGGTTGGTTAGGGGCATCTTCTGGGCTCCTGCAGCCCCTGTACTCTCCTATCTCACAGCACTGATCACAGTGCATTGCCACAGTCTTTCTCAGTCTCTGTCATCGAAGGCGGGAATCGTGCCTGGTCTGGTGTCCTCTGTGCCAAGCACAGGACCTAGCGTATGACAGGTGCTCAGTAACTTTCTGTCAAATGAACAAATGAATCCTAGAGAAAAAGGGCAGGCAGTCTGAAGTCCAAGATTTATACCACCAGCTTTTCTTCACTGGAGAACATTTGGGCTGATGAACAACTGAGTTAAGCACTCAGCAGACGGGCCCAGCTCCTTGCTGGGAGAGAGGAAATGGTAGAGGTGTTGTCTTTCACCCAAGTTTGCTCTGAAGGAAATGTGATCTCTACTGGGAGAACAGGAGGCCTCACCTCTCCCAGCCCTGAGAGCTCCTCGCACAACTCAGCGTGGGCCTGGACAGATGTGCCTTGTCTGCCCTGTGCCCTGGTTTCGGGTGAGCGATTCCTGATTCCAAAAGCCAGGCTTGGGTTTAGGCTGCGCCCAGGAGCAGGGCCACCTGCTTATGCTGCTGACAGGTGGGACAGGGGACCTCCACTCCTAAAGAGCCAGAGTTGAACGTGCTAACAAGGTTTAAGTGCCTTAGGGAAGAAGGAAAGAAATGGTTGCCACACAGGGAGAAAGGGGGAGAGAAGGAAGGATAGAGGAAAGGACCCAGCCTCCCTCTGATATAGCCAATGGGAGTACGGAAATAGGACCTGGACTGCCTGCTTCAGGTTAGCTGAAAAGTCAGTAAAAAGCAACTCTCCCCAAGTTCCACTGTGCTGGAGAACAGGGTAAGAAATGCGGGGAACCAGACCTTGCCCCTGCCGTGGGGAAGCACACAATCCAGTGGTTTAAGGTAAAGTCTAGCCCACAACCTTCTTAATATACAGAACAGAGGGTGGCGAGCAGCAGATCCCTCCCTGCCCCTTTAGCCAGGCAGGCCCACACCACACCACATAAAGCAGGTCAACAGTGCCCACATGGCAGGGCGGCTGTCCAGAGCTGCCGGCTTGATCATCTCATACTCTGTGAGGATTCCTGATCTGTTCCTGATTCTGTCAGCATATGACCCTTGCTGCTTTTCCTGTTCATGCACAGACCGCTTCCTCAGTTCTGTCACTCAGCCCTGGTTCTCTCACCCAACCTCCAACTTCTCTTCTACAAAAGGATTCCTCTCCTGCCACAAGCTGGCACAGCCCTTTCTAGATGATCCTCATACCCTCCCAGACCAGAAGGGAGGTGCGGGGCAAAGGAAGGGGAGACCACGCCCAGCTGGGAGGAGTCAAAGAAGGCTTCACCAGGGACGAAGCACTTGTGCTGAGCCTGGAAGGCTGGGAGGATTTAAGCAAAGGGTGATGAGCACAGAGTACAGAGGGCGGTCTGTGTGGAGGGCCTGTGCCCAGGACCCAGAAACTGCAGATTCCAGAAGGTCCTTAAAGAGGAGGATGAAGCACCTCCTCTCTGAGCAGAAAAGCCTCAGACTGCTGCCATTAACTATCCAGAGCTCTCCCGAGGCTCTGGGGCTAGGGAAGGTAGGGGGTCGTCAAGGTAAAGACATAGCACAGAGCCCCAGAGAGGGCAAGGGGGAAAGAAGCGTAGAGGACAATACAATAGTATCACCAGGTCTGAGTTTTATTCTAAATACTGATATCATTGACCATACAGATCATACACATGGTGACCCAACCATATATAAACTATGAATAAGTTTTTTTTTTTAAATTGATAATGGGACTCTATCCTGCTATAGACAGGTCTGTTGGGCAGAGCTAAGGGCCAGGACACATAGAGGAAGAAATCAAGAGTAGCAAGAAGCACTTGTGCAGAGTCTAGAGCATAAAAGGCTGAACAAGGACCTGCTGTAGGAATTAAGTTTCCTTCTTGCAAGGATGGTCAGGCTCTCCCCATCCCCACCACCTCTAGGCCTAGCTCTGTTAGCAGGAAGAACTGTAATTGACAGGTTACATGCTTGTTTCCTTTAAACCAGAGCCTGGGTCACCCCCCTATCTCTGATGCCCAGCAGAGGCTCACTCATTCATTCATAAGCAGGAACTGTTTGGGGTGAGAAGAAGGAAGGGAAGGAAGGATGTCCTAATTCAGGCCTTCATCATCTTGAATTTGTCTTACTCAAACAGCCTGTTAACAGATCTGCGTTCAGCCTTTCCCCAATTCAGTTCATCCTTCACCCTTCTGAATGATCCAAATTGGGCAATTCCTCTGTTCAAAAACTTCCCATGTCTCCTCACTGCTTACAGGATAAGAATTCAAACTCCTTACCGTGGGCATTCCAGGCATTGCACATTCCAGCTTCTCTCAAATCACCTTCCCTCCTTCCCCAGCCCTGCAACCCTGCACAAGCCCCCCTCAGCAGCATCTACATGTTAACTGGGCCCAGCAGCCAGCCAGCAGCTCCTGTCCCCCGGCTTTGCTCAGCTTTGTTCCCTGCTCTTTGTTTCTAGCGGGGTGGGAGAGAGAGCAGGGAGAGGTCGCCATGATGAAGGGTATGGTCTGTGCCTTGCTCATCTTTGACTCCCTCACAAGCGGTGAAGGGAGATTCTGACTGAGTCATGACCAGGGGAGTTGGGACAAAGGAGGCAGGAGAAAGGTTGGAGACTGGGGACACACATGAAAGGCCCCTACAGACCCTATCCAAACAGGCAAGAATAAATGTTCCGAGTCACACATACACCGTAAATTCAATCACTTTCTGTATTCTGTGGGCAGGTGTTTAATCGCTATTAGAAAAACGTGTATTTGGGGGCGGCCCCGTGGCTTAGTGGTTAAGTGCGCGCGCTCCGCTGCTGGCGGCCCAGATTCGGATCCCGGGCACGCACCGACGCACCGCTTCTCCGGCCATGCTGAGGCCGCGTCCCACACACAGCAACTAGAAGGATGTGCAACTATGACATACAGCTATCTACTGGGGCTTTGAGGAAAAAAAAATAAAAAAGGAGGAGGATTGGCAATAGATGTTAGCTCAGAGCCAATGTTCCTCAGCAAAAAGGGGAGGATTAGCATGGATGTTAGCTCAGGGCTGATCTTCCTCACAAAAAGAAAACAAAAAAACAAAAAGAAAAACGTGTATTTGAAAGAGCTAAAATAATCAACACTCGGGGGCTCAATGGAACAGGGTAAACTCAGCCTCCCCTGGGTGCTGGAGAGGTGGATTCACAGCAATGCTGCTCTGCAAATGCACTGCCTACACTGGGCTGCAGGAGGAAAGCAGCAGCCTGGCAGCCCTTAGCAGTTAGCGACAGGTGATTCCAGGGTCAGCAAAGGCCTGAAGGGAGGGGGCCCAGCCGGCTCTGCCCCCTCGCTCCCTTGGACTGCAGCAGAAGGAAGTGAGGCTCATCTGCTTCTGGGGGCATGGAGATGCCACGCACAGCCTACAGTTATGAATGGTTCTTATAAGAACGAGCTGACATCTGTGCTTGGTTTTTAAGATGCATCGTCACATGTTTGTTAAACTATTGCTCCATCATATTTATTTGGCTACGAAACAACTCCCAGCCCATATTTCGAAAAGTGGTTTATTAAAAACTAAGCCTTGAACATTAATACTCAAAAGCACCCTTGAGAATCAATAATAATGCTGCAGATCAAATGAAAGGGAATCAAAGCAGTAAGTCTTGGTGGGGGCTGTGGCTGCCTTGCAACACTTTCCTATACATTCAGGCAGCTGGAGTGGGGACGAGCACCAAGGGTGTGTGGCACTGGGTGAGGGATAGCCACTCCAACACCTGACTTCCTGTCTAATATGTGGATGTGGTGGCAGGGAAGGGAGGGTGTCCTATGGCCACCTAGCTCTATAGACTGGGCCAAAATGCCAAGATTAGGCCCACTGGGGGCCACTAGTTTCACCAAGAATAAAACCTCTGCCCCTAACCAACAGCCCACACTGATGCCCTATGCTGGCCTCAGTCTGAGCATCCATCCTGGACACAGACTCTGTTCTGCCCCTGGCACCAGGCTGAGCCCTGAGTTGAGTCCTACCCCCGCCCAAAAACAAGCCTCAAATCCAACCAGCCAGTAGTCACAGGGGCCCAGCTGAGCCATGGAGGCTGGAGAAATGCAGTCAGCCCCTGGGCAGGGGCCCACAGCATGTGTACCCCAGCACTGCGTGAAGGCCTTTCTAGCCCCAGAAGAGCTGGCAGAAAGGTCTCTTCCAGCTCCCTCCCAAACGCCCAAGCGTTTCCAGGGTGCCCCCCTGCACCGCATCCAGGCAATAAGCAATAACACATGGCCAGTTCCACAGAGAAACAAGAACAAATTGGAAGACACAGTGAAGAACCCACAGAATGTGGAGGGACTCCAAACTATGCCCTGTGAATAACAAAACAGTGGAAGGATCCAGGGATGTTTGGGGTCAGAAAAGATATGGGTGCTGACTCTCCACCTTAAACTGTCTAACAGTTTTTAGACAAGGAGCCCAGGTGACTCGGTGACTACACGGAAGTCACAGGGTTCAGTTCCCAGCTTAGCGTGAGGATTTCCTCCAAGGCAGAGTCATCACCAAAGAAAGGGGTCACTCCACTGAAGCCTTCCTGTGCGGGAGAGCAAGGCCTGGGGGTTCAACACTCACCTGCGGACTTCCTGGACATTGTTGGTGCGAGCAGCTTCCATCAGGGCTGCATCTGAAGAGAGAGGGGGCACTGGTCACATCCCTGGCCAGGACCTACCCCCTAGGGCTGCTTGGAGGGCCCAGTAAGACAGTGGAAGTGGAAGCACTTCAGAAACATGGGCTTTAACAAGTGAAATGATGCCAAGATATACACAGAGAAAGCTCATCATCCCCTGCCCACGTGGTATCCACTGCTAACAACTTGTCCTCCACATCTTTCTATTAGAGAGCCCAAACTCTTAACTCCTCTTGTCACACAGGGATCCAGGTGAAGTGCTAGCCCCATGCATTGCCCATAGTCAATGCTCAATGCGTGAATCCCTTCACTCTGCATTAGCTATACAGCTCTGTATAATATGTTTATGTGACCATCACTGTTGTCACTAATCATTCGCCTACCTGGCCCCACTCTCTCAACTCCAGTATCTCAGCCCAGTTTTAAATCTTGATGTCACAGGTCACACACCCAGCGGGAGGGACAGGATGGGGAGGAGCAGGCAGGGGCGTGGGGCCCTCTGAGAGTGAAGAGAGCCTCGAGCAGGAGTCAGAGACCTGGCTCCAACACACCCTGCGGGCTACTTACCACGTGCTGGGGCAGCCCCTTTCCCTCTCAACCCCAGCTCCCTGACTATAAAGCAGGGACAATAATCCTTGCCCTGCCAGCCTCAAAGGATACTGAGATGAAATGATGGTTGAAAAATCTGCAAACTCCCCCATGCCATATCCAGCAAAAGGAGACCCAAAGCAGAGGGTTCCAATCCCTTAGGAATCACCAGGCCTAGCAGAAAAGCAATGCTAAGACTGGTCTGGCCAGGGCAGCCTGCAGGCTGTTGGCACCACCTTGTGGCCACCAAGGAAAACTGCCTGACTCAGAAAAATCTCAAAAGTCAACAGCAGAGTCACAATTCTTTCAAATATGTAGTCCAATACAAAATGCCCATGGCACACTCTGTGCCCAGCTGGTTCTTAGCTCCACTGTTGGGCACTGGACAGATTCGTACCCAGCCCTGCCTCAGGGAGCTCTCAGTCCAGCCAAGGGACTCACCCAGTGAAACAGGAGGGGCAGCATTGGAGCAGGGTGGAAACAACAGGATCTGGAGGCAGACAGACCTGGGCTCCAGCCTCAACTTTGCCATTTACTTGCTGTATGAGCTGGCCTACTCGTCTAACCTCCCGAGCCTCAGTTTCCCTACCTGTACAATAGGGATTAAGATACCTACCTTATCATGCATATGCAAACCAGTTCTATGGTTCAGACATAGGCATATGCCTCCACCCCACCTCCTGGCCTAGACTCCAGGGCCAGTTCTTGGTTATCTTCCCGAGTTGTTCTCCAACCACACACCCAGGCATGCATAGGCAGCCCCCAGGTGGAAGGGGAACAAGCCCTACTCAGATATTGCTGTATCCACTCTCCCCTCACTTTTCAGAAAGAAGTGGCCTCTGCAAGGTCACATAGAGAGTGAGGAATGAGCTGAGATTAGAACTGGGGCCTCCTGGCTCCTAAAGGGTAGTATCTACTACACTGCACTGAGGGCCTCAGCTCACAACTCCAAGTCAGGGGACAGAGTAGCTGGCAAGTCAGAAGGGTTGGAATTGGTCATGGTTTGGGTCATTATCTCTTCTGGTAAATAGGCCCTGGTCTCCTTGCTGGGGTTCATGTGCCACAAAGTCCAGTCCAGAGCCCCCAAGAACCTCTAAGGCAAGACCTTGGACACTTTCCCCAGTCCATCTAAACATGCTGGCCTCAGGACATTCCCTGCTCCTCAACTTTCCATGGCTCTCCACTGCCTACAGGAGAAATTTCAACCCCTCCAAACCCTTCTGCCTGATATCCAGACCCCACTCCATCTGCTCTCACCTTATTCCAAAGACCTGTCCTCGAACCAGGCTGGCAATCCTGGTAGCCCCTGCACACACCATGTTGACCTGCAACTCCCTTATCCTCATTCCCTGAAGCCTTTGCATGGAATACAATCCAAATCAAGACACATTTACTGAGTCCCTACTAAGTTCCAGACACCATGGTGGACAAACAGTGTGAAGGTATTAGGGAAAGGAGCTGGTATCAACCTGAAAAAAAGAAAAGATGCACTCCCTGCTCTCATGGAGCTCACAGTGTCCCTCTCCTTTTCATCTCTTACCTTATCCTTCAGAACTCAAGTTCAAATTCTCCACCGCGCAGGAGTCTCCAATCTTCCAGGAAGGCTTTCCTGACCCTGCTGGCCCTCTGATCCCCCAACAACACATACTCAGACCACTCACTAGACCCACAGGCCTAACTGCCTGCACTGTCCCCTTAACTGACTTTGTGTTAATTTAGGAGTTCCACACCTAGCCCCAAACTAGGCACACAGAGGGTATTCAAAAAATTGCTGAAAGTTATAGAATCACAGCACACCTAAGCCAGAAGAGCCCCTAGTCTCTATTTCAACATCCTCATTTTGTAGATGAGGAAACAGAGGGCCAGTGAGGAGGAGCAAGACTACAAAGTCACAATGGGAGTTAGAGGTAGAACCGAAACAAGATCCCAGGTGTCCCTGCTCCAAGTCCAAGGCCTTCCTTTACAGCTGGCCACATCCTGCTAAATAAACAAATGAATGTCAGGGAGTCCCCCTCTTGCTCCAAAGTCACAGAGCTTCGGATATATGGAATCCATGAACACCGTGCTTCAGTCTCCTCCCCTGAGGAACAACTGGGAACCTGAGTGCCTGGACTCAAGTAGGCCAGAAGTCTGGCTCTCTGCCGGCTCTCCTAGTCCCTGCTTAGCTCCATGCACCCGGGTGAGATGCCAAATTGGGCCAGCCAGCCCCTGTGGTTGCTTTGGGTCTCTGCAGAGCCAACTTCCTTCTCCTGCCAACTGCCCCACATGGCACCATCATCTCATGTCTGAGCCCAGGCACCGCAAAACCCTGGGAGTTTGACAGACAGACCCAGGCTGCTGAACTCCAAGAGGAGTCAGAATAGCAGCACTGTAAGAGCACTGAGAAATCATCCTTCACTGAGTAAGTGGGGAAACTGAAACCAGAGAGGAGCAAGGTGTGAGCAGAGGCAAAGCTGGCATTGAAACCAAGTCTCTTCTTCCTGTCTTATGCCACCTTAGGGGGCCAACTTCTCTAAACCATCTAGTGGTTGCCCTTAAACCACGCGGCGGTTTCCTGGAAACCTCTTAAAGGAGGAATTGGACCAGGTGGAATATTAGAGCATAAAGAACTATGCTCTAATTTTAGATGTTTAGTCCCGTGCTCCCACTGTACAGATGGACAAAGTGATGCCCAAAGAAGGGAGGCTGACCTATGATGGGAAATTCTACAACTCAGAGGGACTGAGCTCTCCAGTGCAACACCCTGCTCTATGACCAGATGATGTCTCGGTCCCTCCAAAACTGAGGCTCTGCTAGTCTAAATCGATAAGCAACTCCCACCCTCCAAAGATACGGAGTCAGGACACTCCTCCCGCCTCTCCCTTCCTCGAACCCAGACTGTCCCAATAATCACCCTTGTTGGACGGGCTCTTGCTGTAACAGTGAACCACCAGCGCCATGGCCAGGGCCCATATGCCCAGTCCGGCTCTGTTGGGGACTCCGTTCCAGCTGTCCTGTCCTGGGAGTGTTTCTTCGGGGGTAGGAAGGCGTCCCCAGGTGGCGGCTGCGAGGCACTGGGTCTCTGTGCGTCCTCCCTGGCGCCCCCCGGTGGCTGTCCCTCCTCGGGTGAGCAAGGCCGGCGATGTTCCAGGGCGCCCCCCGACGGCTGCTCTCAGCCACTGCGGCTCCCCGCGGCCCCCGGTGGTCACGCTCCGGCCGGAGTGACCTCCATGGCTCCGGAGCAATGAGGACCTAAGCAGCTGGAGGAGGAGCCGCGGCGCCGGAGCTCTTCTCTTCAACACCAGGGACCCCAGCATCGTGACAGCTACTTCGATTACCCCCTGGTGCCGGCCCCTGTGCTGGCCACGTCCAACATGGCCGCCGCGGCGCGTTCGAAGACGCCGCGAATGGGGTGGAATTACGCAATACCTCACGGGAGTGGTAGTCCACAGCCATAGATCTTTCCGCAGCTGGAGAACAAATAAACTACACTTCCCAGAAGGCCGTGGAACTCGCGTCACAATGACTGCCAATTTGCAGGGAGCCCGGGGCATAATGGGAAATGGAGTTCGGGTCGGGGGCGCGGTGAGAAGGAAAATGCCATGCCATGTCGTGGCGATTAGACTTGAGGTTCGAATCCCAGAGCCCCTCTCCAAGTTTAGATAAAATACGCGAGCCAATTTCTGACTAGTGTAATTTAAACAGGAATATTCAGCAGAGGCCTGTTGTGAAACTTATGCTTATTTCTTTTAGCCTATTTCTCTTTTCAGCCTGGGACAGCTTTTCAAAAAGAAAGATGTCTAGAGTAACCAGTGCACCTGAAATAGGAATTCCTTTTTATTTTCCTACAGAGACTTCCTTTCGGTTGAAGAGCTGACTCCTAGTCTTGCTTTCTCACTTGTGTCATTTTCAAAGTGCTGTCACGTGGGCTGTCTCATCGCATCCTCGTGGCAGCTGTGTGCGGGAAGCTGCGCAAGGTTTAGTATTCCCGTTTATAGGGAAGGGAATTTTGGCTCAGAGGTGAAAAGATTTGCCAATAAATCAATAAATAAAGCACAGGTCTTCTAACTCCGAGCCCAACACCTGCACCCCCATCTCGCCCCCTCTTTTTCCAGACTGAACCCACAGGCAGGCGAAAGAGGAAGCTCTTCTTTATGCCAGTCCTGTCTCTTACTCCCGCTCTTCCTTTAGCTCTCTGCTCGAACTTGACAGTGTCAGAGCCTTCCCTGACGATTTTATTTTAAAAAGCAGTTCGCCTTCCTCCATCCCTCTTATCCTGCCTAATTTTTCTTCACAGCGCTTACAGATGACATACTAAATATTTATTTGTTTATTGTCTTTCTCTGGTAGAACGTGAGCCCATGGGACAGGGACTTTGTTTTTTCACTTTTATATCACTATCACCCAGAACAATGTCTGGAACAAGAAGAGCTACTCAATAAATATTCGTTCAGTGAAAGGGTTATTACCCCCACCTCATTAACGTGGGGGAATGAATAGAAGCTCCTGAGTGCAGGCAGAAGTGGATTTTGGTTTTGACTCTTGATTTACTATGTGTGACCTTGAACAAACTCTCTTAGCTCTCTGATTGTTAATTTCCTCATTATTCTCAAAAATAATAATACCTACCATCAAGATGATTGCTTGTATTAAGTGAGATAATATGTAGACCACCACCATCCCTGGCTCACAGTAGGTCTTCAAAGAGATGGCAGCTATCATTGTATTCCCTGCTCTAGGGGTGTGTTGGATTCTCTACTGTTAACTTCTTGAGGGCAGAAATGGAGTTTCTCATTTCTTCATCCTTTAGTAAGGCATTCAGCTAATAGCTGTTGAATGAATGAATGAATATTTTTAAAGTACTCAATAGCCAAAGCATTTTGACCTTCTTATTTTAAGAGATGCCCAGGACATCCTGTCGTTAGCCACTCCATTCAATATAGCAGCTTCACCCTCCCTGTATTCTTAGAATACTTCTGCCTCCCAACTCGGGTTGGTCACAGCAGGAGGGGCAGGCCCTGAGCTCCCATTACCGGGTGAGTCACAAGACCGAGTGCATCTGCGTGTGCAGAGCTCCAACTCTCTCGCTGCAGACACTTTCTGGGGCCCTTCAGCTTACTTAGCACTGCGTAATTTCAAAGCACGTACCCATTGATTCTCTCATTTGATTTTCACAAATAACATCCATGAGGGGTGCAAGGCAGGGTTGAATCACTATCAGCATTTGCTAGGGAGTACTGAGAGGTTAAATGATCCATGTCTGGCTGAGTGGGAAATAGTGGGGGAGGATGGGAATACCCATTAGAATCAGCCAGGACTCAGAGTGAATTCTAGATCTTCAATAACCAATTCAAAAACCCCTAGGTCACATTGCTAACATTTTAAAAGATCTTCAAATCAGGATGACTTCCTTTGGGTCTGCTCAGAAAGCAGGGACTTATAAGCAGGGACTTATACCAGGTTCCAGTTACCCTATCTTGGCCCTGAGCGTCTAGCTCTTGGGTTGGGGAACAGAGGACTCCAGCTTCATCTAGTTTGTAATGAGGTGACAAGGGGATATTGGAGTGGGGCTTAGGAGGAGACAGAAAGTGAGAGATCAATGCAGTTGCTGTGATCGCCTACCTCTGGAGTAGAGAGGGAAGCCATTCTATAGGCTTCGGAGGAAAACGCTTCTCCTGAAAAGCAAAACAAAACAACAAGAACACATATGCATTTTTAAACAAATGTGTAAATAGATAGTAGATAATGAGAGCTGGGCTTTTCACTGTTGGAGAAAGAAGTTATAAATAAGGAAAGAGAAAGCTAAAATGAACCTTGTGGTACTTAATTGGAATTAGAGGTATCAGTGAAAACTCATGGTTTTAAAACATATATACAGATAGGTCAATACAGAAATGTAGATATGTAAGTACGTATGGGTTAGTATATTCCATATATCACTGATCTCTGTCCCCAGAGAGAGTCTAGAAGCAATGACACCCCAAACACAGAATGCACCTAGCACCCAGATCTAAACACTATTCTACAATAAAATTAACCAGTTCTCCTTGGAGAAATGGTTGTTTCCAGGACTAAGGCAGGGAAAACACAAGATGAGCCAGGAATATCTTGTGTGCCAGAAAGTAAGGAAAGGCTCAAAATCAGATTCAAGCTTGTCAAAAGAACACAGGAACCAAAGTGAAGAAGTTCCTAACGACCAAACCTGGAACAATTAAGCAAAAAATAATGAAAGTTTGGGGGTTTTTATTCCATTGGGTAAAACAAATATCCATTATACCATACTGATATAAATAATCAAATAAATAAATAGATAAATGGGGGAGAAATAAGGAAAGAGACAGCTCTTCCTTATAGTAGAAATTGAATTAATAAATGTAGAAGGAAGAGGGAAATAGAGATCACCATTAGGCAAATACCAAGTAATAAATATTTCAGACAAGATCCACAGATGATGCTAAAATTAGCGGGTAAAAGTTTGAGGACAAACAGGAGTTGTATAGTCTTGAATGTCTCCTGCAAGATACTTATCAACTACAAAAACTTTATGGTGGAGATACCAGGCAGACAACAACTTAACTAAGTGATGAAGGTAAACATCACCAGTAATAAGACATGCAGACATCATCAATCCCTCGATACGATGTAAGGAGAAGGACACAATATCATTTTTGTGGCATTCTTGCCAAGCATATATAACTTCACTCCGATCGTGACAATACATCAGACAAACCCAAACTTAGAGACATTCTACGAATAACTGATCAATATTTGTACTAGTTTTCTATTGCTGCATAACAAATTATCATAAATTTAGGAGCTTAAAACAACACCCATTTAATATCCCACAGTTTCTGTAGGTCAGAAGTCCAGCACCTTTTAGCTGGGTCCTCTATTCAGGGTCTCACAAACTGACATCAAGGTGTCGGCCAGCTCTATTTGCATTTGGAGCCTCAACTAGAGAAAACTACATTCCAAGCTCCCGCAAGTTGTTGGCAGAAATAATTTCCTAGCAGCTGTAGGCCTGAGGTCCCCATTGTCTAGCTGGTTGTAGGCAGGCAGGAACCTCTCAGCTCCTAGAAGTTGCTGTCAGGTCTTTGCCATGTGACCAACTTCTTAGACCCACTCACATTTGTAATCTTTCTGACTTCAAGAAAGGCCCAGTCATTTTTAAGGGCTCACCTGATTAGGTCAGGCCCACTCAGGTAGTCTCTCTTTTCATCAATAAAAACCAACTGATAAGTAATGTAATCATGAGAGTGATAGCTTATCATATTCACAGGTTCTGCTTACACCCAAGGTGTGTACAAAGCATGTACACCCAGAGATGGGAATCTTAGGGGTCACCTTAGAATTCTGTCTACTACGGTACTCTTCAAAAGTGTCAAGGTCATGAAAGATAAGGAAAGACTGAGGAGCTGCTAAAGACTGGAGGAGAGTAAGCAGAATAAAAACTAAGTACCTGTGTGATCATGGACAGGATCTGGGGACAGAAAAAGGATGTTAGTGGAAAAATTGATAAATTTCAAGTAAATTCTATAGTTTAGTTAATAACATTGTACAAATGTTGATTTCCTGTTCTTGATCACTGTACTGTGGTACATAAGATGTTAATGTTGGGAAAGTGAGGTGGGGGATGAGAGGGAACTGTTTGTACTATTTTTGTAACCTTTCTGTAAGTCTAAAATTAATTCAAAATATAAAGTTTTTTTAAAGCAAATATACTTTAATTTCTCTCTCAGAATCAGTTGGTAGATGGGACAGGTAGGGGAAATGGAGAAGAAACTGACATGCATTAAGGATATACTATCTATTTATTATTAGTCCATCAACAAAATATTTATTGAGCACCTACTGTACACCAGGTACCATGTTAGGTGACTCACTGGAGTCAACACCTTGAGGGTAGGGTCCCTGTCTTACTCGTTTATGTGTCCCAAGCACTTTGCACAGTGTGTGGCACAGAGAAGGCATGTATGTTCTTATTTAATTCTGACGATAACTATGAAGTGAGAATTTGCTCCCCATTTACAGATGGAGAAACTTAATCAGAGAGATTAAGTGACCTGTCCATGTCATACAGCTAGTGAGTGATGGCTCTAGGATGCCAGTCCTGGTCTGTGTGATTCCAGAGCCTCCTTCCTCCACATCGTGCTGCCTCTCTGTTTTGGGTAGGCATCACTCGGTTCAAAGAGCTTTCTATAGTATGAATTAAAATACAAAATTTGCATGCTTTTTTTAAAGGTAAAATATGTGAGTTCCCAAAGAAATTTCACACTTGCATGGATGATGGTGGCCAGAGCCCTAGACCCTCTCTGGATATTCCAGTGGAAATCCTTGAGAACAATTTTTTTTTAGAAATTATATAGTTGGTTAACAGTAGCAAAAGACACAATTAAAAAGTAAAGTATTCCTTCAGACATCAGGAGTGACTCATAAATAGTCCATCTGGTTAGTCTTCATGAGTCAAAGACCTTTTTAAATATATTTAGCACTGTGCCTAGTGGTTAATGCGTAGGATCTGA